CCCTGCATATAAGGCCACTTAAAACTATCCCACAGCTCACTTATGTTGTTTTTATTATTTTTTAAATTCTTTTGTCCTCTGTTTCATTTTGTTAGTTTCTATTACTATGACTTCAACTCACTAATGTTTTTCTTCTCCACTGTCTATTCCTAATCCCATCTGGTGTATTTTTCATCTCAGACACTGTATTTTTCATCTTTATAGGTCTTTTTTAATTTTTAAAAAATATACTTTTATTGATTTTTTTTTTTAGACAGAGAGGAAGGGAGAGGGGAAGGGAAAGAGAGAGAGAAACATTGATGTGAGAAACATCAATTGGTTGCCTCCTGCACGTACCAAGACCAGGGATAAAACCTGAAACCTGGGTATGTGCTCCGATCAGGAATTGAACCAGTGACCCCTCAGTTCACAGGATGACACTCAACCAACTGAGCCCCACAGACCAGGGCTGTTTTAAATTTTTATTTATTGATTTTAGAGAGAGAGAGGAAGGGAGAGGGAGAGAAAGGAAGGGGGGAGAAAGAAACATTGATTTGTGTTCCACTTATTTATGCATCCATTGGTTGATTATTTTTTTAAATATGTTTTTATTTATTTTTTTAGAGAGAGGAAGGGAGAGGGAGAGAGAGATAGAAACATCCATGAGAGAGAATCATTGCTCAGATGCCTCCTGCATGCCCCCTACTAAGGATCAAGCCGGCAACCCAGGCATGTGCCCTGACCAGGAATTGAACCAGCAACCTCTTGGTGCATGGGACTATGCTAAACCAACTGAGTCACAATGGCCGGACCATTGGTTGACTCTTGTACGTGCCTAACTCTTTTAACACATGGAGCACAATTTTAATAACTTATTTATTTAAAAGTTTATGTTTTGCCCAGCCGGGCATGGCTCAGTGGTTAAGCATCGACCTAGGATCCAGGAGATCATTGTTCGATTCCTGGTCGGGGCACATGCCTGGGTTGCAGGCTCGATTCCCAGTTGGGGGAGTGCAGGAGGCAGCCAATCCATGCCTCTCTCATCATGGATGTTTCTATCTCTCTCTCTCCTTCTCCTTTCCTCTCTCTGAAATCAATAAAGATTTTTTTTTTTTTTTAAAGTTTATGTTTCAATTACCGTTTGCGCAATAACCTTTCTTAAAGCATCATTCTCTCCTAATTCAGACATCTGCGTCCATTCTGGGTCAGTTTGCATTGATTGATCATTATGGGTCATGTTTTCCTTTTTCTAAAAAAATAACACCTTTATTGAGATATAACTCACATACTACATAATTCAGCATTTAAAGTGTACAATTAAATGTTTTTTAAGTATACTCACAGAGTTATGCAACCATCACCACAATCACTGTTAGAGCATTTTCATCGCCCTCAAAAGAAGCCCCAAGCTCCTTATCAGTCACTGCCTCTTCTTCCTCCTCCTACCCCAGCCCCAGGCAACCACTAATCTACTTTCTGTCTCTATGGACTTGCTAATTCTGTACCTCTCAGATAAATGAAATCATAGTATAATATATAGGTGGTTCTTTGTGAATGGCTTCTCTCATTTAGCATACTGTTTTCAAGGTTCTCTCATGTATGTACCTCCTGCTTCCTGCTATGCCTGGTCAACTTTGTTTGGATAACAGACATTTTAAATGTTACCTTTTAGGTGCTGGGCTTATTATTATTATTATTCCCATATATCTTCCTGACCTTTGTCCGGAGATAGATAAATTACTTGGAAACAGTTTGACCTTTCAGGGTCTTCCTTTTATGATTTAAGTGGGTCTGAAGCAGTACTAAGTATAGGGCTAATTCTTCCCCCCATTGCCATAGTATGGAAACTCTCAAAGGACTATGCTATGGCAATTGTAGGGTTCATCTTGTTTCCCATTTCTCAAGGATCACTGTCCTTCATTGCCTGACACCTGTCTTGAAAACCATTGTTTCACATATTTTGTCTATTGGCGGGG